ACCGAAAATCTCCAAACACCTGGAAATTAAACAACACACTTCTGTGTAATCCAGAGGTCAAAGAGAAAGTCTAAAGGTAAATAAAAAAATACACTGAACTGAATGAGAGCGAAAATGCAATCTACTGAAATATGTGGAACACCAGTAAAGCAGTGCTGAGAGGAGATTCTGCACAAAATGCATATGTTCAAACCAGGAAAAGTCTCCAGTCAATATTCTAAGCTACTACCTCAAAAGCTTGGGGGGGGGGAGGGGTGCAAAATAAACTGTAAATAAGCAGAAGGCAAGAAATAATAAACAGCAGAAATCGATGAAATTGAAAACAGAAACACAAAAGAGAAAAATTAATGAAACAAAGAGCTGATTCTTTGAAAAGATCAATAAAATTGACAAACCTCTAGCAAGACCGACAAAGAAAAAAAGACACAAATTACCAGTATCAGTAATGAAACAGTGAAAATCATCAGACTCTGCAGACATCAGGATAATAAGGAAGTACTATGAACATGTCTACATACATTAATTTGACAACTCAGAAGAAACAGACCAGTTCCTTAAAAAACACCAACTACCTCAAACTTACCTAACATGAAACAGAAATATGAATAGCCCTGTAACTATTACAGAAACTGAATTCATAATTAAAATCCTTCTAAAAAAGAAAGCTCCAGACCTAGACAGTATCACTGGAGAAATGTTTACAAAATGAACAATTCTATATAATCTCCTTCAGAAAAGACAAGAGGATAGAATACTTTCCATTTCATTTTATGAAGCTAGCATTAAGTTGATACCAAAATCAGACAAAGAAATGCAAAAAGAGAACCATTTCCCTCATGAATACAGACACAAAAATCCTTAAGAAAACATCAGCAAGCAGGATTAAGCAATATACAAACCCCATGACCAAGTGGGGTTCATTTCAGTGATGTTAAGACTGGTTAAATATTTGAAAATCAGTCAACGTAATCCATCGTATTAACAGACTAAAAAATAAGTTACACAATCATATCAACTGATACCGAGAAAGCATTTTTAAAAATTCAACGCCCATTTGTGATTAAAACCTCTAAGAGGTGAACATCCTTAACTTGACAAAGGGTATCTCCAAAAACTTACAGCTAACTTTACACTAAACTGTGAAAGACTGAATGCTTCCCCCTCAGGTCAGAAGCAAGGCAAGGATGTCCGCTCTAACTACTCTTAGTCAACATGGTCTTGGGAGTTCTAGCCAGTGCTGTGAGGCGAGGAAAGGAAATAAAAGGCACACGGATAGGAAAAGAAGAAATAAAACTATGCCTATCTGCAGATGATATGACTGTCTGAGTGGAAAATTAAAAAAAAAAAACAAACCTCCTAGAATGAATAAATGAATTCAGTAAGTCTGCAGGATACAAGATCAACATACAAAAATCAACTGTATTTCTATGTACTAACAATGGACGCCAAAATTAAAAAATGCAACACCATTTACAATCGCTCAAAAAATGGTAAACGTAAATCTAACAAAATACATACAGGACTTGCATGCTAAAAACCAAAATTCACTGATGAAAGAAAACCACAAGAATCTAAACAAAGAGACATGGACTGGATTGTTCATGGACTGGAAGACTCAACACAGTAAAGATGTCAATTCTCCCCAAACTGATATACAGGTTTAAGGCAATTCCTATCAAAATCCCAGCAACACTTTTTTACAGATAGACAAAAGATTATTTTAAAATTCATATGGAAAGGCAAGGGACCCAAAACCATTCCGAAAAACAAGACTAATGTGGGAAAAATCAGTCTACTTGATTTCAAGATTTATTATATAACTGCAGTAATTGATATTACATGGTATTGGCAGAGGGACAGACATGGTGATAAATGAAACCGTATGTATGCTGAGCAAATAATCTGAGAACCTGGACTATGTGAGGGAGACTGGGGCATCAGGATTGGAGGAAGACTCATTAACAACCTGCAACAGGCAGATGACACAACCTTGCTTGCAGAAAGTGAACAGGACTTGAAGCACCTACTGATGAAGATCAAAGACCACAGCCTTTAGTACAGATTACACCTCAACATAAAGAAAACAAAAATCTTCACAACTGGACCAATAAGCACCATCATGATAAACGGAGAAAAGTTTGAAGTTGTCAAGGATTTCATTTTACTTGGATCCACAATCAACACCCATGGAAGCAACAGTCAGGAAATCAAACAACGTATTACATCAGGTAAATCTGCAAAAGACCTCTTTAAAGTGCTGAAAAGCAAAGATGTAACTTCGAGGACTAGGGTGCACCCGACCCAAGACACTGTATTTTCAATCACCTCATATGTATGCAAAAGCTGGACAATGAATAAGGAAGACTGAAGAAGAATTGATGACTCTGAATCATGGTGTTGGTGAAGAATATTGAATACACCATGAACTGCCACAAGAATGAACAAGTCTGTCTTGGAAGAAGTACAGCCAGAGTGCTCCTTAGAAGCAAGTATGGTAAGACTTCATCTCACATACTTTGGACATGTAATCAGGAGGGACCAGTCCCTGGAGAAGGACATCATGCTTGGTAAAGTAGAGGGTCAGCGAAAAAGAGGAAGACCCTCAATGAGATGGATGGACACAGTGGCTGCAACAATGGGCTCAAGCATAGCAAAGACTTGAGGATGGCGTAGGACCGGGCAGTGTTTGGTTCTATTGTACGCAGGGTCACTACGAGTTGGAACCAACTTAACAGCAGCTAATGACACAGACCTACACAAATAAGCCAAACTGATTTTTGACGAAGCGCAATAGCAAGTCAGTGGAAGAAAGATAACCTTTTTAACAGATGGTGCTGGAGAAAATGAACATCTACAGGCAAAAAAAAATAAACCCTGACTCGAGTCTCACAACATATACGAAAACGAACTCAAAATGGAGCGTGGATTTAAATCTAAAATGTAAAACTGTAAAAACTTTTAGGAACAAACAGGATAAACTTTTCCAGACTTAAGGCTAGGCAAAGAGTTCTTAGACTCGACACCAAAAGCATGATGTATAAAAGGAAAAATCGATAACCTGGACTTCATCAAAAAAAAAAAAAAAAAAGCAAAAAACAAAAAAAAACTTTTGCTTTCTCTTAGACTCTGTTAAGAGGATGAAAATACAAGTTACAGAGTGGGAGAAAATACTTGTATATCACATGTCTGCGGTTCGAACCCTCCAGCAGCTCCGCGGGAGAAAAGCCGTGGCAATCTGCCCCACGGGACAGTCCTCCTCTGTCCTACAGTGTCGGTATGAGCTGGATTCGACTCGATGGCACACGTGACAACAACTGAGTGATAGGTGCTATCCTAAGCCGTGGACTTCCAGCAGGAAATAAAGACAGAGATATAAAATTATAAACCGCCGTCAGTTCTGTAAAGGAAACACACGGTGAGTGTGAGGCAAGAGGAGCGAAGAGCAGGCGTGTGTGCGGCCTGAGAAGCAGAGTGGCTTTGCCAAGCAGTGTTTAACAGCCTTTGTGATCATGAATTCACAAGGATACCAAACTCTCTGTCAAATTTTCTCCACAAATAGCAAGGGGTCCTGACCTGGTATGAGAGGTTGGGGGAGACTTCTCTGCAGAGGTGATACGTGTGCAGGAATCTGAAGGATGTGTGGGAATTACACAGACAAGAGGAGGAACAACATTCTAGGCAAGGGGACTAGCACGTGCCAAGGCCCTGAGGTGAGAAGACACTAGGACACATGGCTGGTGAGGCTGCAGCACAGCTGTCTGAGGAAAAACGGTACAAGGTGAGCCTGAAAAGGTAGTCCAAAACACACGATCCTAAGAAGGACCTGGGTTTTTATTTTAGGAGCAATGGACGCTGTGACATAATCAGATTTACATTCTTAAAGATTACTCTGGCTGTGGTGTCAAAAAAGAAACAGGAAGCACGCATAAATTTCAGGACACCTAAACTTAAGGGTCATTTATCAGTTCACTGAACAGATGACAGAGTGTGAACTGGAGTGGCAGAAGCTTGTGACGGGCGTCCCCGGCTGCCCACGGTCCTCTGAGCCCTGGCACACACCCTCAGCTTTTGCCTTCACGGTCGACAGCCGCACCACACGCCCGGTGCAGACAGCATGTTTGCAGATGGGGCCGTGGGAAGTTAAGGGAGTTCCTAACTCATGGCTTCCGTTTTCTCAACTGGACATGAAGCCAGATGAGCAGAGAGCGGGTGTTTGCGAGGAGGAGGATTAGAGAAGGGCACTCACTTTGCCAGGTCGTGTGAATGCCCGTGTGGGCTGTGACCACGGACTCACAAGGGCACTGAACTGGCTGGCTCTAAGACTGTCCAGATTGATGGAGCCGCACACGGACGGGTGAGTACGGCCTTCTAGACGCCAGTAAAGAAAATCACAACGGCAGCCAACTGAGTGCTAACACCCTTGAGCGTGCTTTTAGTAAAGGTCTCACAGATTTTGTAGGATGACTGGGCTGGGGCAACTACACAGTTATTGAAAAAAAAATCAGTATTACTTAATGCAGATAACCCTGTTATGGATCGAACTGTGCCCCCCATAAATATGTGTTGTAAATCCTAACCTCTATACCTCTGGTTGTAATCCCATTTGGGAATAGGCTGTCTTTGTTACGTTAATAAGACAGGATCAGCACACACTGAGCTATCAGAGATTAAACAAGCACGCTAAAGAAGCAGAAACGAAGGGAGACAGACGCCAAGCTACATGAAGATCACCCAGGAGCAGACGCTGAGAAGAGACAAGCACCTTCCCCAAGAGCCGACGGAGGCAGAAAGCCTTCCCCTACAGCCGGCACCCTGAATGCCAACTTCTAGCCCCCTAAACTGTGAGAAAACTAATTTGTTTGCTAAAGCCACCCACTTGTGGTATTTCTGTTATAGCAGCACTAGATAACTAGGTCAGCCTCTGATGAAGGAATTCTCTAACACGGTCAGTATTATTCCCAAAGGAATCTGGATTGGAAATTTAGGTAAAGGTTACTTACACAAACACAATGTCCCCTCTCTTAGAGTAGGCAGGAATAGCACTGGCAATCGTGGCAAATCCATACGAGTATATAATGGCCTCCTCTGTCTTCATAAATTTTGCCAGGCGGTCTTCCAAATCCAAATGCACATCTATTTCAATGGAAGAATGTTGAATGGTTAAACTGTCTTATAATTCTTCTTCCCCCTCTACTGAAGAATAGAGAAAGTTTAGCTGTTAATACTTCACCTTATGGTCAGGTCAAAAAGTAATTGTTTTTAAATCATATATTATATACAATCTATTAAAATACTCAGGGGTCCAAACTGATGTCAGCTACTCATCTGTCTGTAACATGTGTCCCCCCGGCAGCTCCAAACCCCAGGTGGTGGTTTTGTATACTTCTCTCCTACTTTACCATTCCATTTCTGGACTTGCCTAATGTAACTGGCCTCAAACTCCATGAACCCGCTGGGCTCAGGAGTTCAAGACCCATGGACGCCACCGGCTGTAACTTCCCACAGCCAGAAACACTGAGGCTTTACCGATGTATGCTAGTAATTTTCAAACGTCTTTTTGCATTTTAGCAGAAGGGAGCAAACTAGGTGCTCAGAAACCTGTCAACGAGCTTTTAAAATGAGGAAGAAAAGTAGTTAATTAAAACACAAAACCACCCTGTATTCTACATCTAGACAGTGACACCTACTTTACACGTCAGAGGCTAACTAACCCTCTAACAGTCTGCGTCAGTCTGTAGCTGTGGCACTGCCATCACTCGGCAGGGATGGGTTTCTGTTTGCATTTCTTTTAAAGTACGCTGGGGTGTTAAATTAATAGTACAAAAAGAAACTTGGTCCTGTTACAGAAGGAACTTAGGAAGAACACTGGCATGATAAGGACGATACATCCGTAATGACTCGTCCGCCCTATCTGCATTTTCCTCTTCAGTCACAGTTCAGCCTTTCAGCCCCTAGGCTGAGCCGCGAGGCTCCCGGCCCTGGGACAGAGGCCAGTGAGCACAAGGATAAACAGGCCGACGGCGGCCAAAGAACCTTCAAGGCTAACAGTGGCCTTAACATGAGGCGTTATCGTGGAGAGAAGAGGATCTTTACAGTCGCTTTAGCTCTCTTAACCACAGCAGGGCGGATGAGCGATTTTACCACGTGGCCTGTGCAAGGAGAATTCAGAGTCTGACACAGGAAGAATGACACCAGGCCCCTTCTGCCGTGAGAACAGAGGAAATCGGACTACAGGGGATGGCAGGGGACCCAGACATTGGCCAGTGAGGGGAGAGGAGGAAAGGGCTGATGCCCTGGCAGAGCCCTCGGTCCAGACACAGGGGCCCCAGGGGTGGCAGCGCTGCTCCCAAGGGCCAGAGGGCGCCCGCTGCATGTCAGCCTCTGCTCTCCCTCCACGGAGCAACAGCACTGCCTCTCTGCCGCTGAGACCAGGGGACAGCTCAGAGCCCACCGCCTCCCAGCTCCATGGGGATGCGCCCCTCCACGCCAGGGGTCATCCTGGGGAGGAGGAGGAGGGACAAGACCCGAAGGACTGAGACACACAACAGAGACGGCTTAAACCAGCTCAGGCACAAAGCTGGACTCCGAGTGGATTAAATAATTAAACCGTAAGGGCAGAGACACAGTTAATGCTTCTTCAAACCATTTATAAATTAAAGTGTATACAGGCTTAATCTATCACAATACCAAAACACACATTTGATTTTCATTACCAATCAGGTGTAGGCATTTTGTAGAACTGATACTTTCGTTACACCCAGAGCATCAGGTCCGAGACAGCGCCAACACGAAGGTCAGGACCGACCCGGCTGCACCCGACGCAGGCTGCCTAGGAGACGCTATCAGTGAATGGTTCCATCCAAAGCCAGGCAAGAAAGAGGACAGGAGGTGAAGGACGTAGGAAATGAGCCACCTCGCTGGTCGCTGAGGACTGGGCCGTCAGTCAGTCTCTGGGCTCTTCCTGCGGGTCCGGAGTCGTGTTCTGCGGATGAGAGGTGCGAGGGCCACGTCCTGGGTAGGAGGCCTCCTTCTAATCACAGTGCTGCCTCTGAACTGGGAACATCTACCACAGCTCCTGCTGATTTAGCCAAACCACACTGAACCGCTTTCCTGCAGGAGCCTCATTTCAAAAAGAGAACCACGCTATGGACACAGACAAACTGTTTTTGCGAACTACAGAAGGATTTAAAATCATTCTGTCGACTTCGCAGCTCTAAACGCCTTTTCATTGATTGGCTTTTCGGTCAGGGCTTCAGAGTCAGGTGCTGTGGAGTCAAGAAGCTGGCTTTGTCCAACATGAGGCAGCCTTTGCCCTTGGTCCCTGAGAAATAACCCTCGGAGTAACTGGGGTGCCTTGGTCCGGGACCTCCAAGCCACACCTGAGTACATGCTGGCGAGTGGGGACTGGCCAGACCAGAAAAGCTCACCTGGGAGGCTGATATCAACCAGGCTCAGGAGGCATGACTTAGTCTACCACAAAGGAATGGCCGATGCAAGCCCAGAACACAAAGCTCAGGAGGTTCCTGACTAGCTCGCTGAGACACAGAAGCTCCACGTGGGGAATCCCACCATACCTCTCTGTGCATCTCTGCCTTAGGACGATCCTGATTTGCAGCCTTTGCCTACAATAAATCTATAATTGGGAGTATAGTATTTTTCCCAAATTCTGTGAGTTGTCTCAGTGAATTACTGAACCCAAAAGAGAAGGCAGGTGACAGTGAGCATGTCGTGCGGACTCCCAAACTTGCAGCCAGCGTCTGCCTATTCGGCAGTCTACAAGATGATGTTCTTTTACCCTGTGAGATCTGGCCTAGCTCCAGGTGGCTAGGGTCAGAGAGTGTGTCGCGTGGGCGGATGGTGTCAGAAACGACTGAGAAGTGGGAACTTGGGGACTGGATCATCGCTACATTTTGGGGATTGGATTCATGCTGATTTTCATCCACGAAGTAATCCAAGAAGGTACCCAGTTTATGAAAATTATTATGTTATGAATATTCTCATCATTACATACGCTCTCATCATTACATACACTCACAACTGCTTATATACAATTGCTATAAAGTAGTAAGAAAAGAGAAATCTGTAGAGAATAAATCGACGACTTATTGGTTCTTGCTTAGTCCCAAAAGTTGCAAAAAATCGAAAGAAAGCCAGGCCTTTTCCTCATCCTATCTAAAGACAATCTTGCAAAGTAAGATCAGCCTTTTGTGACCGACAAACACGGATGACTGTGTAACTGGCTTCTCCTGATGTATAACAACACCTGTGGAGACAATAACTTTGAACAGTGAGGAAACTCTCAACCCAGGAGAAGGGGAGGCAGCAAACTGGAAAACCGCCAGAGCATCTGTCTGCAACTTCTACGTCTGTGTTTTCTGCTTCTATATGATCCATTTCGCCAGCCGGTGCCGCAGATTTGTGTGAAATCCAGGGGAAACACTACATTTTCCAATCCATTACAGGAGCAGAAGTGGCAGAGAGGAGGCCATGGTGGAAGGTGGCCAGGATTTCCTCACAGCACTGCTGCACTGCTGCCATTTGCTTACATGCTTCTGGGACTCCCTCACCAGAACAGCAGAGACGGGGGCAGGGCCAAAGCTGTGTCCACTGAGGGGTGGCCAGCACCCAGCACAGCCATCCCAGAGGCACGGGGCATGCTGGCTCAGGGCTTGGCGGGGGTGGGGGGGCCCAATCCTGGCTCCTCCACTCACCAGATGTAGACTCTGGGGAAGCCTGAAACCTCTCTGTGCCTCTCAGTTCCTCCTCTGTCTAATAGGGGTAACAGCCATACCTCCCCCAAAGGACCCTTATTAGGAATGCGTGAGTTAATGCTTATAAAACACTTAGAGCAGTGCCTGGCAAAGAGGAAACAATATGCTATATAAGTATTCATTCAATTAAATCAGTACCTGTAGAATAAAAGGTTTTCTTTTAAAAGGAAAAAGAACCTTACATTTTAAGCTACCTTCTAATTAAGGGAAGTTATCAGAATCCTGACTATTTAAAGATTACCTATACTAACCATCGCTTGCTCAGCTCACCATTTACAAGGGTGATATAAAAGGAGATAGTATGGTCTTCCCGGTTGTTTTCAAAAGGAAAGGCCAGAAAACATTCAACTTCAGGACCGTCTAGAAACAATCAACCATTAAATTTTCTCTTAAGGCCTCTGTATTTTTGTGTACATATTGTTGCTGTTCTTTTTAATCTCTTGCGACTAGGATAACTTTTCTTAAAAGAACCAATAATATCATTTATATACTCACTAGAACACAAACAGAGCCCTTATGGTGTAGTGGTTAAGCGCTCGGCTGCCAACCAAAAGGCTGGCGGTCTGAATCCACCAGCTGCTCCCTGGAAACCCTATGGGGCAGTTCTACTCTGTCCTACAGGTTTGCCATGAGTCGGAACTGACTTGACAGCACCTAACAACAACAGCAGAACATAAAGTGTTGAACGTTTTTCAAAATGTTTCTACGTGCGGTATCTTTTGTGATTCTTACCAAAACGTTCTAAGTTGTGCAAGGCAAGGACTGCTCCCCTCCTAAACCTGAGAAACTGAGGCCCTTGCTAAGATCCCATGACTGGTAGGAAGAAGTGGCAGATCTGGGAACGGTATGGCCAAATGTTCTTCCTACTAAATCATGCAATCATGGTTCAGCTGACTGGTCTATAACAAAGAAAGAAAATATTAAAAAGTAAACAAACGAACAACTGTTTATGATTGGTTCTAGAATACAATTAAATATCCATATCTGTCACCATAAAAACGTGGCCTTAATTATCTTGATCTAATTTAAGTTCAAGATCAGAGTCAACTAAGCAACACACACGAAAAGCAGAACCCAGTACACCAGGGGCAAACAACAGGTAAATGAGATTTGAATGTTGTGATGTTTTGAACAGTGTCTCCCACAGAATTCACGTACACCCAGAATCTGTGAACGTGAGATGTAATCAAATTAAGACGAGATCATACGGATCAGGACGGACACTAATTCTAATAACTAATTGCTTAGAAGGAGAGGACAATCTGGAGACACAGAAACGCACAAGGAGAAGACAGCCCCGTGAAGACAGAGGCGGAGGCAGCAGTGACACATCCAAAGCCAAGGACCGCTGCCCACCACAGG